GGGGGTATTTTCGCTATTGAAGTAGAGCGAGTAATACATAAGTTTACAGTAAAAACATAAGGTTCGCCAAGATTTGGTACATAATCTTACTACTTGAACTCATCATAGTCAAGGCATTAATATAGTTTATACTAAATGTTTTGAAATATCTTGTTTTGTCAGTGTCAGAAGAAGTAAACATTTCTTGCATGCATCCATTTGATTTGACATAAGGCAAGTTTACTTTACCATCGTGACAACACTATGTGCTTCGAATAATTTTTCACTTCCAAAGTGAGTTGCATAGCAGAACCACCTATGTATAGCAACCGAACTGGCAAATATTATTCATATCACCAAGTGAATGTGTATCTGGATGGGTTTCTGTTAGACCAGGCCTTTCTATTTCTACTCTCCTAATACGCATAAGATATCTTATTATTAATTGTCTCCTACTCATGTTTTCAATATTTCTTCTTTGAACTTGAGGCATTTTCTGTTCTTCCTACAAAACTGATTACCGGGTTAACTTGGTCTTAACCTACTTAATATTTACTCCCAAAAAGCTAGTGAGTTTCTTTTTATAAACAGCTGTTTTTTGTTTTTAAATTTGTTCTGTGCATTTCTTATGGGGAAACCCCGACCTTTGAGTGGGTCTCACGCCCTCAAGAGTAGGAATTTCAAAATTCTAAAACCTTATTGCAAAACTTCATATTCAGACGAATCTTTTGACACCTTAAACGTTGAAATTGGTCCACAAATAAGGGAGGAGTTGCATTAACAAAAAACGGCTTCACGTATTATATATATAGATTTATTGTACACCAGTAATGGTGTCTGTCTTTTTGACCACTTTTGCCTATATTGGAACATGATTAATTGTTAGGTAATTGATGGCTTGTTTTTAAGACAGATCATCATTCATCATAGGTTCATGAGGTTATTGTCATACATGTTTTCAATCATTGGAAAAATCTTTGATTTTGAAATACAATACAAGTGAAGGAGGGCACGTTGCCCGTATGAGCCGTGTCCATATTTGTTAAATTAATAGTGATTGACAGCAACTGGATCAAATTTTTAATATTTTTTATGTAGAAATATGTGTATGATTTAGAAAGTCATTAAGCTGGAAAATTCCAATTTACTGCAGTCTTTTCAGAGAGGTTACTTCCATATATTCATTCAGCTTAGTGAAAACATAATATAGAGCCTTATGTTATTAAACTAAGAAAAAGGTTTGTGAATGTTTACTAGCTCTACTCAGTACCAAAAACCTATTTAAGAGTTCAAGAATAAAAGCCAGGTTCACTAGAAGTATATCCCACTACCTACACCTAGAACATTCCGAAGAGAGATTGTATTGACAACTTTATGTAATTGATAAGGCTGAGACAACTGACATCCGCATGTCATGGAATTCCAGCTTCAAAAGTAACCCCACGACCAATTTCTCAAAACTATGCTAGAAGGTTATTTATTGGCACAGAAGTATGATGACCAGAGTGATGAGAAGTATGATGAGAGCTTTGATGACCGATTTGACAAAGGAAAAAATAAAACTTACTCTTAAACTTACTTACTGTACTAAGTTTAAGGGTGGACCACCCTTTGAAATAAGAACGTGCCTTTTCAACAAACATATATTTTTTCTCAAATTAAAGCACAGATTTAATCTGCATCACACTTTTGAAATTGCAAAAGTGTTTACCACGAAAAATATCCGATAATATGATTTTAATATTTTAATACTATTTAAAGGTTCTTCCAAAAGAAGAGAAACCAGTTTACTAACATCATAGTAATAATAACTCCGATGATGGAAGATATTTTATTCCATATGTATGGGAAATATTTTATTCATTGAATGATCAACTAAGTTTTGTAACTAACACAATAGTCATGATTGTTTTTAACACTTATTTATTATTCATTAAACAATGCTAAATGGTCAAAAATGTTATAATCACCATTTCACTCTATTTATCGCAGTTAAATTAATTAGCGTAAGCCTTGAAAGCAGCCGTCGATTTTAACGGCTTTCACCTAGTTCTATATATCACATTTATGACTTAAATACTATTTCATTATTAATCATGGAAATACACTGTTCATGCAAGCAGTTTAATTAAAGAAAACTCTAAAATAATTCTTCAACAATGAAATTACAGTAGAACCTCTTTAATCCGAACCCCCGTGATCCGAACGTCCACTAATCCGAACACCTCATTGCTGTACTTTATACACAGTACAGTAGTTCTATATTGTATACTGTATTTAATGTGCATTACTGTTTATTTACTATGTTTACTACTGTATTAAATAAAAACTGTATTTTAGTTTATAAAGCATTTTTAGCGAATTTCCCATATAGGGAATAAGCTATTACCGTAGTACTCGTGGTAAGACCTGGACGCGGGACCGATTTTTTTTTTCATTTTGAGGTCCCTAGAGGCCAAAAACACCATCCGTTCAAATTCATATATATATATATATATATATATATATTTATATATTTATATATACTAGTGGTCGTCCAGTGGTCGAAACTCGACCAAAAATTATTAATGTACAGACTTCTCTATTTTCTCCCCACACTGTAAATAAAACATGTGATTGGAATTTCTTCCCTTTGTTTTGATTTTCTGTTTACATTTTGTTGTTATTTCGTCACCATCATGGCAACCTATATAGTCCATGTTAATTTTTTGAAGTTTTCAAATTCAATTTTTGTGCTTATTTGTTAGCCTATTTTAATTTTTATAGGCATTCTGCACATCTACAGGAAAATATCTCTCCAACAGTATGCGTAGATTTTCCCTGCGATGCACACGAGCTGAGAAAAAAGGTTTTAAAGAAACATGCTTGCCTATTAATATATAGATATATGTGTCCGTTAGCACGATAACTCGAGCAAAAATGATCCGATTTTGATGAAATTTGGTACAAACGTGTAAACCTACGTTTATTCGAATGAGTTCGCGATCCAGCATGATCGGACCATGGGAACGGGGGTTTACGGGGGGTTTTATGGGGTAAAAATAGGTTTTTCCCATTTTTGACCCAAAAAACATAAAATTTAGCAATTTCTTTCCAAACCATTTTGTAGAGCTTAAAAAAACAAATAATTTAGTATATTGAAGCGTTATTATGCGCCTAATGGTTACGGAGAAAATTCCAAAAAATCGTAAATTTAAAATTCCCATGTTATTCTTATGGAGAATAAGTAAATTGTTGTAGTTTGCTTGTTTATGAACATATTTTGATCAAATTTGGAAAATGTTTTTATTTCTTACTATTAACGTTTTACAAAAAAAACAGTTTTACCCTCCCTGATGCAGCAAACCTAAGTACTAGTTAAACTAATTCTATTTAAATAGAGAATAAATGTTATATTTTTAAGTAGACATTTCAGTGTAAATCCAATCAGTCAAATGGAAATTCGCTTAGTCTGCAGGTTTGCTGCGGCGGGGGTATTTTACATTTCCCGTAGCAATTACGATCCATTGTAGCCTTGTTTTAGCTATTGTTATGTAAAGACAACAATATGTTCTGTAATCCGAACTATTCAATAGTCCGAACTACCCCCGGTCCCAATTAGTTCGGATTAAAGAGGTTCTACTGTATTTGTAAACAACACACTTGACTGTGAAGATCTAGAAGGAAGCAAAAATGAACTTCAAATCAAGTCAAGAAAATCATAATAAAATTGGTATGTAACTTACAAGAAGATAACCATGAACAGTAAGTGATTCCTTTTATTTTATTACAATGCATCTATTTCAGAAAATTTCCATTATTGTTCAGACAATGTCAACTTGATCCTTTTATGTAAACAAAACTCATCAGTAAAAAAAGAATACATTCCACTTGTTCCTAAATTAAAAAACATTCTTCCTTAAAATATATTTTAGCCACTAAGCTAATTCATTTTTAAAATATAATTATCAAAATTGTGTGACAACTCTAATATATTATTAGTTTAATTAAAAAAGAAATTACTGCCAAATGAAACTACTTTTAATCCCAACAAAATTAAAATCATGTTGTTTAACTTCCCTAGTAGACCTTAATTCATAGTGTTGAATGTTTGTATTATTTTGGTGGTTTAAAATGCATGTAATATTGTTTCATAATGTACAAGTCATATATTGTCATAAGACCTAATATGAAAAAAAAACAATTTCACTGATTTTTGATTATTTTGAATGTTGTAACAGAGCGCTTTTTTGTTGATAAAAATTTTGTTTATGTATTTCCTCCATCAATTGCTATACATGGGTATGTGAGAATTTATCAATGCAAAGCAAATAGTTTTTAAAATATCGTCACCCACCTTTGACATTAAGTCTCAGGGGTAACGACCTTTTGACATTTTACCAATAACATGCTCAACATGCTTAGCTTATCCCAATTTAGGTTTTGATCCAATATCAATCCCAGAAAATGTGTGTGCTCTACTAGATTAAAATTTGAATCATCAAGGTAAATATTCAGAGTTAATTTGGATCTTGATTTTTTCTACAGAATTATATAAAATTTGATTTACTGTAATTAGTTTACTGGTAGATTGTTGCTTTTTAAGAATTCATTAACCGATAGAATATTTGGAAAAGATTTAAGTTTGACTTCTCTTGGGAATTGCCTGTAACTGTGATGTTGGTGTCATCAGCATGAATACACACTGAAGCTTCTCCATTGATAGCTAGTGGGCGGTCTCTTATAACAATGAAATAAAAGAGGCCCCAAAAAAAACTTGAAGTTTGAGTTTTTGTTTAGTCGGCTCCCTCAAATATCTCAGGCACACCTCTATTAGTTTTATTTCAATCCGTTGCTTTCATAATTCAGTATGTGAATTTCTGGGACCAAGCAATGGAGGGTTTTAACTTGAGCTATATTTTCTTACATACAAGTCTTGGCAGTACATGTACTGTGACAAGTCCAGAGCATTAACATACATACAAGTCAGTATTAGTTGATTTTAAAATATCACAAAAACCCTCTAAGCTTAGCAATATTACCTCTTTTAAATCGTTCATTTGCTGCACATATTGATTCTGCTGATGTAACAACTGTCCTATATACCATTGCTGATCCCGACATCTTTGGAAAAATGTTGGTGGACGAACTTGAAACCTAAAGGAAGTTTTAAAAAAATCATGAAATAAAAATAAAACCTAAAAATGTTCAGTTATTTTTTTTCTAAATCACCACAGCATTCTACATTTAAATTATCTTCTAGGTTCTAACAATATTTCTGTGTCCAGAGCTACGAAACATGTTGGTTCAAAGTCTTTAACCTTTTATAAACCAGAAAATAATGCTGGTAGGAGGAAAACAAATAATTAATTGAAATGTATCATTAAGTTACAAACATACAAAAATCTTGAATCAAAAACCTGGAAAATTACATTACACTATTCTGTAAAAAAATATACTTTAAAGGAGTCTATTTGGCATGTGACCTTGAAATAAGTAACTAAGACTTAATTTGTTGTCATTCTTATTTCAGCAGATAAATACGTTGAATACAAACAAATTTAATTAATTTCACAAACCATTGCACTAAACACACCAAACATGTTTAAGTACCTGAGCACTAGTGTATCAGAATCGGTGTTCAAGTAGCCCTCACTAGCTAACAGGTCAAGTCTGAAGAAGCGGTTGTATCCCCAGCATTCTCCGGTCTCAAAGTCTGAAGCAAACTCTCGGACAATATTTTTGCTAGCATCTCTGGAACCTTGATGAATCATCTCAACTCTATATTCGTATCTGAAACATAGTTTATATTAAGTGCATTTTCAGTTACAATAGCTTACAGTAATGTTTAAAGACAATTAATAGTTTAAAACTAAAAATTGACAAAACCCATATATTTAAATATTCAAAAAGAATTTTTTTTAATTCTCTGTAAAATTCCAAATTTAGTAGAATCTCGTATATTTTTGGGGCATTACTGGATACTCATATTAATTGAATGAAAGTACAAAAATATGTCTAATAACACTTGTAATATTATATTACACTTATACTGTTGGGTTGCCGGAATTATACCCCCACCGATCGTTGACATAATTTTGACATCACACCCTACACTTTGATTTTAACGGAATCTAATCTATTTAATGTGGGCAAGTGATCAGTGAACCGGATAATTATATTTGAAATTAAATACCCCTGCCGCAGCAAACTTACAGACTAAGCGAATTTCCATTTTCCTGAATTGATATTAGGTTAAACGAGTACCTAGGTTGCTGCTACAAGGAGGCTAATATAGTGTGCTTTTTAGCAAAATATTAATAGCTTAGTATTAAATAAATAAATTTGCCAAGTTTGATTAAAATATATCCATAAGCAAGCAAACTAAAACATTTTACAATCTTCTCCATAAGAATAACATGGGAATTTAAAATTTTTTGAATTTTCTCCGTAAACAATGACAACATAAAATCCACTCCAACTTGACAATTTGTGGACACAGAGGTTGTCAAATTTGGGGGTTGTCATTTTAATGGGTTTTAATAAATGAAAAGAAATGCCAAGTATTCAATAATTAAAACTAAATTAACTACATTATTGTTTTTCCCTTGTTCCTTTAACTTTTGTGCCCAGTTTTCCTTGTTCCTGTTTTGTCAAGTTCATGGAAGATGATTTGTGATTATAGTAATGAGGTTTTTTTAGAGAAATCTGAATCAATTGTTTGATCAAACGATAATTGTAAACTAGAGTATCATTACAGATTTGCTGGCTTTGATCATGCCATGAATAAAAAGCTAACAAAAACACACAAGGCAGCATAGATCTGTGAACATGTAAAATAATCTGAAGAATGTGTTTTTTTCTGTGTGCTCTGACAGCGGTTGACTGTCACCGGGTGTCAAATATTAAGGTTTTACTGTATAAGATTTTCGGGAAAGCCAATACAGTAACATTCCACTATTGTTACTTTATTGTCAGTTATTATTATTGCTTTACAGTTTAATGCTTTAAACAATTTGAACAATTCACTTTTCAATTGATGTTTTATGCTGTAAATAAATAGGTGGAAACAATAGGCCTACTACTAATATAAAGATAAACTACTATAAAAACTATATATTTTTGAATGAATAGAAACATACTAAACAATTGAAACCCAAAGCTTGATTACAGTATGTGATGTATACTCACTTGGAAGTATCTGGTAGTCCGTTGGTGAGCTCCAGGAACACTGACAAGTAGTTGCCTCTCACCACTCCGTTGCCGTCAGGGTAGACCTTGAGTCTCCAACACAAACCATTGACATGGAGGGGAGGAGAGTACACGGGGTCAGCCTTGTGTTGCAACTGTGTGAACTGCTGCATAGAAAACGTGCTACTGTCATATCCAGGCACGATTTCACTGAAACCAATCAAGTATACAGTATTTATGACATCTTTCTTATGATTATGAACAATCAATTATAAAAATTCAGATAAAACTGTCTTATATGCATCTAATATTTGTTGAGGTTAATGAATTACAACACTAATACAGATTTCCCACATTCTTCTTAGATTTTTTCCCCAGAATGTAAATTTAGTAGTCTCATAATGGGTAAACACATATCACTAGTGATAAAATAATTGTCAAACATTACATTGCTGCAAATTATACGTTTAACCATTATACATCAATTAATTTTTTTTAAATTGAACTAACAAATTCAATGATTTGCAAATTGTTTTGTCAAGTGTCTTTGTTTTATCTATTAATTTTTAAATGTCTTTGTTTTTAAGGACTGTTAAAAACAAAGACATTTAAAAATTAATAGTTAAAACAAAGACACTTGACGGAACACTGATTGTATGTAGTTTTCTACATTTTCTTATTTCACAAATTGTATATACCTTGGCTGTTCGCCCCTCTGACTGTACAATTTTAAACTTGTCTAATGAGCTCAACATGTTTTGCTGGATTTGAAATCGACTATTTTCTGACAGCACAGCTTTATGGAAATGAGCTATTTATGTATATCAATAACCTTTTCTTGCACACGTCGGGAGATTAGATTGTTTAAAAAATTTTAAAAACACACAGCAAAGCATATACGTCAGCTACAGAGCTGCAAGTTGTGTAATTCTGTTCACAAATGATGCCAGTAAGTGGCGAAGGGCCTCGTTGTGGCATATATACCGATTTATACTTTAAAACGGCCCTTACTTAAAAAACCACCCTTGTATTTACTTAAGCATTGTATTCTTTACATAACTTTTTGATTTGGTTCAATCTGAATTGAATTTACACTGAAAAAGTGTTCAAACCATGAATTCTCCAGCGTCTTTAGGATTGTGGAAAGATTTTGTTTAAAAAATGTGATGCAAAGTACGGAGTAAACATGCATGTTTAACATATTAAGGACAAAATGAACTCAATTGTTTTCTACGTTTGCATGCTCTGGTAGCGTATTAAATATATATACTGTTTGTACACTGTGCTGTGAGTACGCAGTTTTTGTATAAACTATAAAAATGAAAACCAGTTGTGTAAATAGATAAAACGATAAATCTTTACTAGTGTCTGAATTTGAAAACTGTTATTGTTTCAGCAGTATGCCTTTAAAGATGGTTTTTAGAAGGGTTTGAATATGTTGTTATTTTCTTACTTGTATAAGGCGAATTTACTGGACGTGCTAACTCATTGTGCTGGCAGTAAGGGGTTCTACAGGTTGGGAAGTGACTGCAGGGTGTCTACTACATTCTGGATAAAAAATTCATGGACAATTCCCGTACATTTAAGGACACTTTGTCTACAATCTTTGTCGGTGTGATTACAGAATAATTTTCCTGATTTGTCAAACTGTATTAATCTTCACTGTAGTATGTACCAGAGAGAAAAGTAAATAATAATAAAATTGGGCTAAATTTCAAAATAGAAATTTATTGAAAGTAAACAAACATATGCAGCTTTTACAGCTTGGTACAGCTTTTATAGTGTAACAGAGAAAAGCAATCATTAGTCTCCTGCGATAGCGACAAAATCCTGAATATCTCCATCAGTCACGGAAACATCATAACATAGCTTATCCGATCCAGGCGGATTAATTTGGCTGATTCGCCCGGGCACAACGTTAGGTTCTCGAATACTTTTGAAAAAAAAATCTTTAACGCATAATGCATATATTGTAACTCGGTTCTAGGTACAAAATCGGTAGGTATAGTAAGCGGCTACCAGTAAGCACATAGTAAGATTATTGTCTTTGATTAATCGACACATAATTTATCTTAGGCTCAATTACATTTTCATAGTATATTTTAAAGCTCTTTCAAAGAATCAAAACACCCAGGCCTAGACCTAATTATTTAGGAGGGTCTATATAAACTGAGTAACAAAACAATGAGGTTATAATATCAGAAAAGTCACTATTATCATTCTAGTTCATAAGATTTAGATTGCTTAAAGCATACAACACAATAAATAAATGGGAAATAAAAAAAATTGAAACCTGACCACCAACAATATAAGACAAAGATACAGAAAATGCAATGACATAATTTGAAATCAAGTAGGCCTACGTAGTGACAAAAAATTAATGCAAACAACAATGCTCATGGTTTTGTCAATTGAAAGATAAAATATCCATAAAAAGGGGTTAACTTACAAAATAAAACTGTACATTACATGTTACATGTACTGTAGTTACATGTTCAATATGAAACCATAAACAGTTTTATGGCCCTAGGCAATGGCCAGCGGCAAAATTCAAGACGTAAGTGAAATTTAACAGCCATTATAAAACTATTATTTCCATGATAAAATAGGTTTGGGATCTAATAATAATTACCCTAGTAATAAATAAAGAAGTTGTAAAGGAATAAAAGCGATACAACTTTTATGAGCTATGCTACTGAGTCAACAGTTCTTGGAAGTACTTGACTTGACATTTGATTGTTGTGATAAAATATTAATGGGTTTGAGACTGATAATGGGGTTTTTATTGCATAATTACTCTAGTAGGCTAATAAATTATGAAAATGTAAACAAACATCTAATAAAACTTTAATGTGCTCCTAACCAACTAACAATCGATAAAATTATGGCCCATAAAAATTTAAGGACATAGTCTGACATTTAAGGACAATTCCCGTACATTTCATGGCCAGTTAAAAATTAAGTACAATTCCCGGATTTCCCGGTTGGTAGACACCCTGGACTGTGTTTTCAAGCACTTCATGTGCCGAGCCAGTATGTCCCCAAAGCACTGCCGTCCTACTCTCTCACTCAAGGGCAAAAAGTGTGTGTCCCAACTGGGCACACCCTGATCCGCCTCTTCCATCAGGACATCTTTCCCCCAAAGGATCAGGGTGCTAAACTGGCAGGCTTCTTTGCTGTACCTATTTTTTCCGCTATTTTAATACTACTCTCTCTCTCTATCGAATCCCCTGACTCAAAAATCTGCCTCCAACTATCCTTTTCTCAGCTTTACTTTCATTTCCCTATCTAATCAACCCCAAGTCAAGGTGGAACAGCATACGTCGAGGACTGCATGGTCAAGGGGAGCTTGGCCACTAGTATGCAGACTCTGGACACCAGGCGACCTCCAGTTTCAAGCAGCCTTCCCCGGGCCAGCGGGGCTCTGCCTGGGGCGACTCTTTATTCCCTTGCTACTCGTGGGATCAAAATGGACAAAATAAAATTAACCAAACAGAAGTTTCTGTAAGTATGGAGGTAAAGGAGGGGGTAGCAATGCCCCAGCAGATGGGTACATCTGAAGTGGCTACAAGGCCCCAAGATGTTGTCCCTCGAGAGCATAACGTTCCCTCCCAAGAGGTACCCGCGCCTCAGGGAGGGGATGCCATGACACTATCAGAGGAGGAAGGGCTCCTCAACGACGAGGACTCCCAAAATGTAAAGGAGTTGGAGGCAGGACCAAGGAAACTCAAGCTGACTGCAATGAGGCCAGGATTGAAAATGAGTGACTCCAGAACAAAAAGGTTTCCCTAAACTAGAAACCAGTACAGAAGAGAGAATGGACTCAAATTCTGACACGCTGCGCTCACTTGCCTTCAGGTTAGCTGGTTCGCTACGCTAACTCGCCTCCAGGTTGAAGTTTGTTCGCTACGCTCACTCACCTTTTGGTTGCAAATTAGCTGTTGTCATAAATTTAAGAAAACAATAGTGCTGCACCGGTAAACCTATTAACTTTTGAATGCTATTGAACATCACAGAATCAAATTGTTTAGTTGAACCAGCTGTTAAGATTCTTTAATTCCATTTAAATATGAAACATGGGAAACTCCAGAGACACCGGGGCGGAGCCTTTTTGACGGATCTGCACCAAACTTGACAAAAACCATCCTTGAATAATGCTTAATAATGCCTGAAAGTTTTATTACAATCTGTCGAGGGGTTTTAGAGTCGATAAAGGACAAACAAACAAACAAACAAACATACATTGGACAGGGTGTTCAAAAAAGGTGGGGACATATTTTACCTAGTGATTCCTTGGGTCAAAATAAAGAGAAAATCAAGAATAACATTTTTACCAAAATCGCTTCGTTAACCAGATATCCGCCATTTTGTATTTTTTTCATAAACATTTTTATTTTTGACTTTTTCAACCGATCTTTATAAAACTTGGCATGTAGGTTAAGGTAGAAAAGACCAATGTTAGAAAAAAAATTCATCTTGATTCAATTTAAAATTTCAAAATGGCGGCCATTTTAATTTTTTTAACTTAAATTACTCAAAAACAGCTAATGTTATGAAAAAATGTCAAGAACACTTTTATTTAGCAGTTTTGATTCCCTATCAAACTATACCAAGTTCAAAAAGATCGAATAAGAAATAGCTGAAATATTACGAGTTTTAGTTGTAAAATGGGGTAGAATACGTCAGAAGCTATAGTCCTCGCCACCCTAAGTTGAGGCAGCCAAAGGCCGCACTACATATACGCCGTGCGGCCTTGGGCTGCCTCAACTTAGGGTGGCGAGGACTGTCAGGTGTACCCCATTTTACAACTAAAAATCGTAATATTTAAGCTATTTCTTATTCGATCTTTTTGAACTTGGTACCGTTTGATAGGTAATTAAAAATGCTAAATAAAATCGTTTGTGGCATTTTTTCATAAAACTAGTCATTTTAGAGTAATTTGAGTTTAAAAGTTTTAAATGGCCGCCAATTTGAAATTTTAAAAAGAATCGAGATGAACTTTTTTTCTGACACGGGTCTCGTCTACCTTAACATATATACAAAGTTTCATAAAGATCGGTTGAAAATATTAAAAGGGGAAAATGTTTATGTAAAAAATACAAAATGGCGGATATCTGGTTAACAAAGCGGTTTTGGAAAAAATGTTATTCTTGATTTTCTCTTTATTTTGACCCAAGGAATCACTAGGTAAAATATGTCCCCACCTTTTTTGAACACCCTGTATATGTAGGGTGAGTTTCTACTGACCGTGTTAACTTCGCCAGTGGGTTCTACTCACTAAAAGGAACAAAAAAGTTCCTATAAACCCATGTCCGATTTTCGACCGTTTGGCTGTTTTGGGGGATTTTGTGTTTTTCTTATTTTATTAGACTTTGCTCCACAATTTATGTAATAAAAACTTAACCAATTACTTCAGAGAGTTATAGTTAAAATCATTGGAAAGAACATGAAATTTGCTATAAATCAAAGGTTTCATTCAACAATTATACCATTACATAGTCCACGTTATAACCAAAATAAAGTAAAAATGTCATTAAATTAATTAATTACGATAATTTTCATGGGCCTCCTTTGATACATAAACCTGCATTTATGCAATGTTGAAATGCATAAAAAACTTGGCATTTTAATAATCTTTCAAATGATATGCTATTCAATACTATTATTGATATAAACCAGTGAGAAATTACTAATAAACTACAATAAAACACGGTTTACAGATTTTGTTTTTGCACAGTTTTACTGTTAATAATAATTACTGTATTCATCATGTTGGCATAATCTTGATTGGTAAAAGGCTCCATATTTTAATAAATGTTAAAAAACTCTTAATTGACTTGGAAATATAAAGTTAAAACAGCAAATTACTCAACAAGGTATGTTCAAGCAGCTGAGTTATCTAGCTATAGATGACAAATCAATAAAAGCTGACTTAATCAAGCACAAGGTAAAACTAATTACACAGCATTTAAGAATCAAACACACTACATCTTTGAAAATGTGAAAAACCTTGAGTTTATACATTTTATTAATTCAGATAATTTTAATAAATATTTAAAAGTTAAAATAATGTACAAATTTTATCAGATAGTTCAATAAAATACATCATGGAGTATACAGTAATTAGTAATTATTATTAACAGTAAAACTGTGCAAAAACAAAATCTGTAAACCGTGTTTTATTGTAGTTTATTAGTAATTTCTCACTGGTTTATATCAATAATAGTATTGAATAGCATATCATTTGAAAGATTATTAAAATGCCAAGTTTTTTATTCATTTCAACATTGCATAAATGCAGGTTTATGTATCAAAGGAGGCCCATGAAAATTATCGTAATTAATTAATTTAATGTCATTTTTACTTTATTTTGGTTATAACGTGGACTATGTAATGGTATAATTGTTGAATGAAACCTTTGATTTATAGCAAATTTAATGTTCTTTCCAATGATTTTAACTATAACTCTCTAAAGTAATTGGTTAAGTTTTTATTACATAAATTGTGGAGCAAAGTCTAACAAAATAAGAAAAACACAAAATCCCCCAAAACAGCCAAACGGTCGAAAATCGGACATGGGTTTATAGGAACTTTTTTGTTCCTTTTAGTGAGTAGAACCCACTGGCGAAGTTAACACGGTCAGTAGAAACTCACCCTGTATAGATATATTATAATTCCCATGTTATTCTTATGGAGAATAAGTAAACTGTTGTAGTTTGCTTGTTTATAAACATATTTTGATCAAATTTGGAATATGCATTTATTTCTTATCAAACTAAAACTTTTTTACCCTCCCTGTTTCAGCAATCCTCAGTACTCGTTCAACTAATTATATATTTAAATAGGGATGAATAAATAAGTTTTAAGTTATTAAGTATTAAGTTTGAAGGGGAGTATAATAAGTTTTTTTAAATAAATAATATTTTTATCCTAGATACCTCTATCAATTCTGGGTTCAAAAGTTATTTAAATTTTTTTTATCTCTTTTGTTACTTCTATGGCAGCCATTTTTGTTTTATGTTTATGTAAAATTTTTGCTTATGTAAGGGTTTGCGTTAACTTGCCTAACTCGGTAACCATTAACACTAGAGTGATGAAACAAAAATACATTTCATATTTTTAAGGAGACATTTTAGTGTAAATCCAATCATGAAAATGGAAATTCGCTTAGTCTGCAGGTTTTCTGCGGCAGGGGTATTTTGTTATTGCTGAGTTACCTTTGAAAATCAGCCGGCACAGGAGCAGTGACAAAACTGGCCATTGGCTTCTTCCTCACTTGGTGGATCATGCGAGAGAGTTCAGAAGAATGGGCTATAAATTCTGAGCGCTTTCGAGTATGAAGTTGATGCTCTATTTCCTGCAGCAGAGCTTCCAGCTGTTCTGTTTCCTGTGTCAAACTAGATTTCTGCGCCATCAGTGTCAACAGTTTTGCTTTGAGTTGAGAGTCGAGTCTAGCAATCATCAATTCCACAGCGTTTCGTATTTCCCTCACTCGCTCATCTTTAGCTGAACGCACAGATTCCACATTACGCTCCTGTAAAAACATGTGAAAGTGTTTTGATATAGGTTTAAAAAAGTTATTTTGTTTTGTTGACAGTGTGATTGATAAAAATTGATAAAAACAAATAAACACATACAAGAGTTCATGGAACTTTCAGAGTAAAGAAATTTCTCCAAGAATCTTAGAATAAGTTATATGTTTGCCATGAAACTTTTATACATTTTATTTTTTTTTTTACCGTCTCATGGTAAGATCTAGACCCGGGACCCATTTACAGAACTCCAAATATCCGAATCAATTGGGTCCGGACCCCATTCGGATGATAAAAAATTTGGATAATAGGTTGTACATAAAAATTAAGAGTCTTTAATGAAAATATGAGTCATGCCGAGCTTTTACTATTGCTACCACAGATCACATCTGCGACAATTTCGCGATCGGAAAATTTACAATTTTTTCCGCAATTGCGGAGTACGATTATGATTTTCTGTCACCGCGAGAGACAATGATGGTGTCTACAGGACCGTAGGATAAAATTATCATTTTTCCGCGATCGCAAAAAATTATGACGATGTTTATGTGTCAATTATGGTGTCAACACGATTGCAAGACAGGTTTTGAATTTTGCTTGATTTCAGATGGTTGGAAATTGGATGATTGGAGTTCTATTGTACTTTTATTTTAAGGTCCCCAAAGGTAAAAAAAACACAATTGTTCAAATTCATATACGTACACTATACAGGGTGAATCACGTAGAGTGCCCACTATTGAATTATGGCCCACCATAATAAAATTGTAATGTGACAATCTATATATATATAATACGCTAAGCCGATTTTTGTAAACAGAACTACTCCGTCATTTTTGGACTGATTTTGATGATTAAAATGTCAAAACAATGGCCCTGATCAGTAGTTTTGCAAAGTGTTTTTCGTTTTTTGATATCTTTATTAGTTTGGGCAGGATCTTCCATCAAAGTTGGGTTTTCTCCCATAAGATTAACATGGGGGAATCTAAATATTTAATTGGAAACTTTGTCTCCACTAATTTGAGAGAACGGCTGGGCGTAGAAACTTGACAGAGGTGTCCAAAGAAAGGTCTTGGTCTGTAGATGAGTTATCAAAAGAAAAACAGAGTAAATTCGCTTATGGCTCTGCCCCAGAAGCCTTTAAAGATCCCTCCACAGATTTGTTTAAATTTTGGCCATGTGGATAATATCTTTGACTATTAATAGTCAATGATAATCCTTTTTAATGAAACACCTATTAATTTTAAAATTGTGTTTCAAACAACACACATTTATTGGGAGTTACTGAATTGTCCAAAAGAAGTATTTGCAATGGTTATTTTCTGATTTTGAAATTTATTTTCTTCTGTATTATGTCATGTTTTGCAATATAGCCTAACATTCCATTACGAAATCAGTGGAAATCCTTTTATCACAGTAACTCTTACAATTCTTTCTTATTGAACTATCTTATATCTATTTTACGGGTTGGTGTCTGCCTTTTTCACACCTTTCCCTATATTTTATCATATTATTCTAGTCAGATCATCATAGGTTCATGAGATTATTGTCATACATGTTTTCAATCAAGGGTCTATCCATATCAAGTGATCCAACAGGGGTTGCTTGACCATTTTTTTAAATAAATAATATTTTTATCCTAGATACCTCTATCAATTCTGGGTTCAAAAGTTATTTAAATTTTTTTTATCTCTTTTGTTACTTCTATGGCAGCCATTTTTGTTTTATGTTTATGTAAAATTTTTGCTTATGTAAGGGTTTGCGTTAACTTGCCTAACTCGGTAACCATTAACACTAGAGTGATGAAACAAAAAGCATTTTAATCTGGAAAAAACAGCCTAAATATTATGTTCAGTACATATTTATTGAAAAGTGTATCTAAAACAGTTTTCAACCCATCTCAACATTTCATAAGAAAACGGAAAAATTTCAACTTTTGAAGGCGTATTACCATTGGAACGAATAAAATCTCAGACTTCATTTTTTGTGTGTGTAGCAACTCAGTAGAACTGTTTGTATTTCAAATATCAACCCTAAGACTTGATTCATTTAAAAGTTATCATTTTTCAAAAACAGAAATTTTTTGAAAAATCCAAATTTTGGGTCTCAATATCTTTGTTGGGACAAAGTTTAAAAATCTGAGATTTTTATCAAAACCCCCTCTTATGGTTGTTATACCGCTGTGTAAATTTCATCTTTGAGATTTACTTTTAAGCTAAGTTACAGTATCATAAAAATCGCAAAAAACCCCATAAGCTCGGCCACCGCTCCTAGGTTAGCTAGGTTACTGTAGGTAGTCTAAAGATTAATTTATAGGTGTAGGTAATTATTTTATTTAATGTAAACTTACCTACTTTAGTTTAAAGTAATGTATAGCTTTTTCTTGCAAATTTATTGTTTTTGTGAAATAAAATGAAACCTTTATCAGATTATTTACATTCAGGTTTACACAAATATTTTTTCAATAAATATGTTTAGCTTATTCATAAATTTATTGAACCACTTTTATTTTAATAAAGAATATTATAAATTTCACATACAAAAGCTGTTTGAAACACAAGTTCTTAAAGAATTATATAAAAATTATTTTCCTTGTTAGTGTTTTTTGTTCTACTTCGATTGTGCTCTTTAAGAAGTTTGGATATTTCTTCATTCAGTTTATGGGTGATGTTGTATGTCCTTCCAGTGGTTGTTGTCAGTTCCAAGAGATTTAATTTTCTCAAAACTTTGTTTATAGGCACCCAAGCTTGGTCTTTCTCATTTTGTTTAAAGGCGGTTGTTGGTCCTGCTGGATCTTTATTTTGGTCAGTGATGTCAATCACCTCTGCCACCCACCACCGATTGTCATTCACACATGCGATAGAGTCTTTTCCTTTTGTATGAAGTGTAATTTTTACAGCTTTTGATGTTGAATGAACTTCATATTCAGTTGCTAGTGAGGTTATGAAGCACCTAACATTACTACTGTCCAGTACTGTAACAGGAATAAAACAATCTAAGCTTCTTGTTTCAGTAATCTTTAGACTTTAGACAGTTCTCTAATCGGTCCAGGAGTTTGTTGTTGTAGTGTTGAGTGATTTCTTCTGTTATGAAAATGATTTTTTTTTATATAAAACTCTGTGTTTTGTGACTCCTTTACGACTTCCTGTGGGGACTGGAGACTGTATCAGTTCCTACAGAATATGAGTTATTCCTTTTCAAAATACCATAATAAACACTTTTTATTGATTAATGTTACGGACAATAAATCTGAATGGAGAATCAATTTTAAGACCTTTAAATAAATAGAATTGACTAAGTTTTATTTAAGTTGAATGATGAATAAAACTTAAAATTCAGCAGGATTTTACTTATATTTAGTACCGTACACATAATCTGTACTTTCGGTACAGAGTTTAAGTTAAAAATCTGTTTTGGATTTTTGAAATGTACATTAAGATAAGTTTACATTAAATGAAATAATTACCTACACCTATAAATTAGTCTTTAAGCTACCTACAGTAGGCCTACTAGCCGCGTTGGCCGAGCTTATGGTTTTTTTTTTGCAATTTTCATGATATTGTAAATAAATCTCAAAGATTAAATTCATACAGCAGTAGGTTATAACAACCATAAGAGGGGTTTTTGGTAAAAATTTCAGTTTTTTAAAAATGGTAACTTTGAAATGAATCATGTCTCAGGGTTGATATTTGAAATACAAACAGTTTTACTGAGTTCCTATACAAAAAAAAATCAAGTTTGAGATTTTATTCGTTCCAACGGTAATACGCCTTCAAAAGTTGAAATTTTTCCGTTTTCTTATGAAATGTTGAGATGGGTTGAAAACTGTTTTTGATACACATTTCAATAAATATGTACTGAACATAATATTTAGGCTGTTTCTTCCACATTAAAATGCTTTTTGTTTCATCACTCTAAGTGTTCAAGGTTACCAAGTTATGCAAGTTAACGCAACCCTTACATGAGCAAAAATTTGTGTGTTCCGCAAAACAAAAAATAGCCGCCGTAGAAGTAACAAAAGAGATTTAAAAAAATTTTAAATCACTTTTGAACTCAGAATTGATATACGTATCTAGGATAAAAATATTATTTATTTAAAAAATGGTCTAGCAACCAATTATTTTATTTCTGGATGACTTGATATGGATAGACCCTCCAATTGAAAAATCTTTGATTGTGTAATACAATACAAAATAATACAAGTGCAGAAGGGCACAATGCCCATTTGAGCCGTGTCCATATTTTGTTAAATTAATAGTGGTTTACAGCAACTGGATAAGACATTTTACAATATTTATGTAGAAATATGTGTAGGATTTAGAAAGTCATTAAACTGAAATACTGCAATATACTGTACACTTTTCAGAGAGGTTACTTCGATGTATTCATTCAGCTTAGTGAAAACGTAATATAGATATGTAGGCCTATATATATAAGAACTTGAAGTCTTAGAGAGCCTTTGAATGTTTTTAGACTAACGAAAAGGGTTGTGAATGTTTACTAGCGCTACTCAGCAACAAAAACCATTTAATTTATCTCTAAAATATATATTATTAAAGTGCACTGAGCAGCAGTCTAAAAAAAATCTATTTAACTTACCCATATAGTTACAAAATGTTCAAACTCGCATTGTGACATTTATACTTCGGCTTATATTTCTCCAACAGAAAATTCATCAGCAGAACAATTTTATTGTGCTCTTACCGTGTCTAATAACATCCCAACACAGAAACCTTGCCTAAAATAGTATCTATCTTGACAAATTATTTACAGTCGCCTAAATTACAGACCGTGGCCCACTGGGTTGGTAACATTATTGAAAATAACACGACATTTTGGCTGTAAAAAATGGCCCTATGAGTAAATACCATTTAAGCAGCTACTGTCATGACAGAAAGGTCATATTCCTTTTAAACTAGATCAAATAATCCTTTATAAGATACGTTGATTAACAATATGTAAACGTCAATATATACGTAACAGCCAATTTACAGTATTTTTACTT